CATGATGCGACGACGACGATAGGATGAATGTTCTGTCCCAGGCGCGTAGCCGGCAACGTGGGGTGTTGACATGTGATATCGATATCGCTGATCGCCTCCAAATTACTCGTGGGTCGGCAGGTCGCTGGCTACCGACATATAGTTACTTGTAGAACCGCTGAACAGTTTTTTGAAAAACGGAACTTGCACAGCATTGAACCTGAGAACACGGGACGCAACACCGGAAGAGCTTCTCTGCAATGAGTTGTAGTTGCCTGACTTGCGCTTATGGTAGCAAACCTCATCCAAGTTTGGAGGAATCAGGAAGCTCTCATTGTTGCTGACGCAGGGCATTTGGCTGTCTGATCCTTGAACCGGTGTCGAGTCAGAAGAATCGAAACTGATGTGTGTTGATGGGCAAAGCTGACTTCCGTTGCCAACATCAATCGACAATTCTTTTGTCTTTGGTCTGAAAAATCCGTCTGATTGAGGGAAACTATCGACGGAAATACTGCAGTTTTTTAGTTTTTCCTTCTCCAAGCTGGAAGTGAACAATCGGACCAACCGATTTTTCGACGGATTCAGAAAATGCTGATCCCTTCCAACTTCGAAGGAGAGCGAAGGGCTCCTTAAAACAGACAAAACGTCAAGCACAGTAGGTTCTCCATCTAAAATAAAACCAATAAACAACATAAAAACTGATGACTTTACGCTTCATTAATGCAATATACCTGCTCTGATATGAAAACTGAGTGGATATCTCTCGAATCTGTCAATTCTTGCATAATAAAGTCCTTATCGTGGTCAGAGAATTATAAATTCGTTATTCGATCCATTGTTAGACTTTGCTGAATGCAAAACGTAAGAAATGTGATGTACTAATGAGAACCATTTACTTCTCGCTCAAATGCGAATGCTTCAGCTGATCGTCAGCAATGAAATGACGATATGAAATTCCACGTTTTATCAATACAGAAATTCCTGAAAGGAAAGACAGAAGAAACTAAATACTATTTCGTTAATACTAAGATAAGGTGTCGTACATCTCTTCACGATGATAAGTGCAGAAAAGAAATAGAACACAGGCCTACTTTAGCAACTTTTCCGGAACAAGAATGGACAGATTTCTTTCTCTTTGTCCGAGGCAGTTGAATATGTTATAACAAGAAGCAGTTTGATATTAACTTTACCGATGAAACGAATCTGAATGAACAAAATCAAATGTTTCAGTAGTGGGATAAGATTTCATACATTAACTTAAATCCGGTGGCTTAAAAACACCAAATAAATTTAACTGATCCAAATAATTTGCACAGAGACATGAGACGCAAATCCCATGCCAGCCCACTGATACCACTCACGTACACTGCAAACGAGTACAAAAACAAGTGAAATGATTACCGATTTAATTCATTTTCCTCAGCTAGCATGCCAGAAGAAATTTGTGACGAGTTAGAGGTGAGACTACGAGGGCCTGTCAGTCCTGAGCGTACAACAGCGCATCTTTTATTGCTCTCACACGAAGGACAGCACTTGTCGTGGATTTCCAGGAACTCATTCAGGCGCTCGGGGAAAGAATTTGAACGCTTTCGGAACGCTTCATCAAATTTGGTCGGCTGAAGTCGCACTGCGTCATTCGTCGCCAATTCACACTGAGTATCGGCGACAACTGTTCGCACAGCACACTTTAGTGTTTCAGCGTGACTTTCCGCTAACCGAAAACCATATGAAGGCACAGAACGCAGCTGTTTTACATGCAGATTTTGTGCTGAATTCCTTTTGAATTTGAAACGAACGTCTGGCTTGAACAAAGCCTGCGCAGATCCTTAAACAAAAGAGTTATATACGACTTACTCGATGGAATATGAACAATTTGTCTAAACTCATTCAGTCATTTAAAACTTCGGGTTTCAACGTATATAATGCATGCAATCTAATATGCATATTTCGAAAAAATCTGAAACCGCTACTTCATTTACAGTCACAATGCTGTCTGCAATGCAATACTAAAGTAACGCCATAAATATCCAATAGATAAGACATAAGAATAAATAACTGTTACAGATGGCGCAATGCGTATCGTTCTCAGTTGCAAAACACCTATTTAATGAAGCTCAGAGGAAAAACAGTACTATAACGCGGTAGATGTTCAGAAGTGCAGTCAGACTGCAGATTCCTTTCTAGAGTTAAAGACAGCACTATTGCAACTTCTTACACTCGTGCAATATGAATGACTAGGCGATTAAAAGATAAATAGATGGGTGTGTTTTCGTCTTCAGACACGTGCGCTTAACCATTAGGCTTTCCTAAGTCTGTCCTCATCTCTATCAGAATTCAGATATTGGCTCCATAAAGCCAATATTGTAGTCTAAGCCATGGCTTACAGTGATTGAATGCGTAATACAGTTGTCCATGAGGTTTCAGATGTGTTCCGCTGTCTTATCTTAAGGGATCCTAATGTCTTTCCGATGCATAACATTACTTGCCTCTTAGGAACGACTAGGCAGAACTGTTGAGCGAATGCAAAACATTTCAGCTTAATAAAAAAATTAAAACCCATCGCTTGCAAAAAAACGACGGGGTTCCTCTAATACATGCGGGATAGAGAGAATTACGGTAAACTTGCCTTCTACAATGTTGGGTGACCCGTGCTTGGAATGAGTGAAAGTTCACTATCCTTTTGTTATATACTTTTCCAAAATGAGAACGCAAGTGCTCAATCTTGTTCCTCAACAATTTTCTGCTGCTGAACACCAAAAGCCCTACATCTAATGAATAATAAACATTATCAACTTCATTTTAATAAAAATAGAATGCGGCGCATTACAGCGCAGCTTTAAATATCAGTTGCGAACCAACAAACTAAATGAGGTGCTCTTGTTATGTTTATTGAAAAGGTTAGAAAAGGCAAATGATTACTTCCTGGTGATCTGTTGCGAACTCAGCAAAAGATGCTGTTCGCAATGGAGATGAGCTGTTTAAAAAAAATCATGGGAGTCTTCAAACTCAGATATGGTCTGCACTGAATCAACTACCAAGGAGATTAGTTTTCATGACAGAATACACAGAAGAGCAGAAAGCCAGTTAGTATTATGAACACATGAGAAAATACCCCCAGACAGGCAAAACTTCACCATGTATACTTGACACAGCAGCAGATGTCCAGGGAAACGTCGGGCTGGGTACTGATGCAAATAATGCAGTTGTTAAAAAACCTGGACAAACCGCAAGAAGATAAAAAAAGATAAGTGACCAAACTCTACATTATTCAAGATGCTTATCAAGGTGATTTCAAAAAATTAGCAATAATGCAATGAAAAATGGAAACCTCCCGCTTCTTAAGGAAGCAGTTGCGGCTAAATCTCTAAGAAAACGGAAAGTAAAGACAACGCTTGTGAAAACTTGAGCGGATTTGTCATTGCCACTGACAATGAATAATCATTAACTACAAAATCTTACAGAAAGCCACAAACAATACAAAAGACTGAGTCACGTTCCGGAATTCAAGGTTTATCTTTTCGGTACAATAACAACAGAGTTGCACACCACATACCTCTACAACGACTCTTCTGCCCAAAGCCTGATTTGGATACAATTCCACTTGGAAAAAGTGGTTCTTCTCGAGAAACCTTCGCTGGTATGGAAGCAGTACCCGCGATGAACTCTTTTTTACCCAACAACCAGTAGGTTCTTTGCTCACCTTTTCCCTAAATATACTCAGGTATCGCTGCATCATCCTTATGAAATCCATGAAGAAACTTTAATTGGTATAAGTCCGCGTTCTTCCAAAAAGTAATCACCAAGCTTTTCCAGTGCATGTTTCGTACTTTCGCTGCAATGGATTTTCAGCGCTAAAATCAAAGTCGTAAAGGCACATAGTTAAATAAAATAAAAAATTTAGGCAATTAATTACTTTAATAAAATACAAAATAAATTAAATACAAATTATTGTTAAGGTCTTCCTGCCTAGCAGTCATCTTGCAGTCTTCACTAGTCTGGTTTGGTTTTACTAAAATGCAGTCCCCTGCAAGTCCGCAAAAATGAGTGAAATAAAAAAAGGAACTGCTCGTCTACATGATCACTGATAACTGAAAGAATTTTAAACCTGAAAGAAAATTCAGGAGTTAATAAAGTAAATGTCGGTAGCCTAAGGTCCTCCGATACGTGTTACGCTGGTGGTTTATATTTCTAAATAACCATATTACTTTTCTCGAGATCGCATGCTCAAGAAAAAACAAATTATGATGACCTAACAAATCAAATAAACAAGAATTTGGAACTTTACGGAAATAAAAAGTGACTTGTGCAGCTAGATTACTATGGACCGATGATCTGGCCTGACTGAATTGGCAGATTCCACCATCAGAAAGAGGGTGATCATAAGAGTTTTATGGAATTATGTTCATATGTGCAAGTGCTTTTCATCAGTGAGTACCCACTCCATCATGGATACCCTTCCCGGAGAGCGGTAACGACCAGATTACAAAGGCGATCGATGATAGGATACTGCACGGCGTGTACTGCAGCTTAGGGTGGCTTGAGAACTTGTTATTCTCCTTCCTCAATGAAGTCTAGCCTTCGGCTAACGAGGATCTGGTACCCGATTTGAAACAGCGGCTTATGCCTATTAATGCAGTTCGCCAAGAACACTTTAATTAAAATTCTAAACGGAAAGACTGAGAGCCCAGCCTAATCTTAATTTCTAAGGAAAATATTTAAAAAAATATTTTGATCTTGATGTCTATCCTCTAAACAGAGATCGATACACTTATGGACAATACAGATTGGTGATTCAGAAGATGCACTACGGGGAACTGGCAAAGAAGAGAGAATAACATTCTCGCGTTACTTGAATGGTAAAGCTGTAGGCAATCCAGCTTGTTAACTCCGGCGAAATTTATGCTGAGGCTGTCATTGTTCTGACAAGGGATGACTTCCGTCACTGTCGTGACTATCCATGAATTTATCGCATGATGCACGAATTCGGAGATAGGATTTATTTTCATTGTATAAACGTAAAATCATTCATGTATACTGTTTATTAGGAACTTGCAATATATGAAATGTCGATTCAGCTCATTACAATTCATTGCTACAAACTTACGCATTCCATTGGATTCCATTCTGCTGGCTGTATTTACAGTGTCTCCGAAAAGGCAGTAGCGGGGCATTGTTTTTCCAACTACGCCGGCAGCACAAGGACCTAAGATTTATGCAGATGCAACAGAATACACCGTTGAAAGACTGATACCTGTGTGTACTCCAATACGTAACAAACAGGGCTTATCAGGCTTATGCGGAATTTTGAATGATTTCACGCCTTCCAGAAGGCGTAAAGCCATTGTGGCGATCTCACCGGCATGCTGATCGCCGTTTCTTACAGGAAGACCACTGACCACCATATAAGCATCACCTACAAATAAATAACGATTACATGCAGTCATCTAACGTCCGCAGTTAACCTATCGTTTCGACTTTGTAGACGTCGTACTGCCGAATGATTCGATCGAATAATGTATACAGAGCGTTAAGAAATGCCACAACCTGAAAGAATGCTTTAGAAACAGCCAATGAAATGGATGGGATAACCTGCACAGGAGTGCTTTCTGCCGATAGAGCAGTGAAACCGACAATGTCTGAAAAATAAATAGTCACAGAATCAAACGTTTCCGGTATGACGTCTTTTCCAGACATAAGCTGTGCTGCGACAACCCTGCAAAATAAAACGCAAATGAGACATGACACTTCGCGAATTACGATGCAAGAAAAGAACTGGCGTCTAATTGATTTAGTCAGTTAATACAACTCAGCAAAACTCGATTCAGCAATCAAGTTTCAAATGGCATCAGCATAGCATATCTAGACTCCGCTGTTACATTTTTACTGTCGAAGTTTCACTAGAGTCTATACTGCGGAAATAACAAATAAGAATATACAACATTCCGATCACCGACTTCGCTCTATTGCTCTCTACCACTTTTTCATCAAAGCTCTAACTCAATTAATGCGTTAATTACACTTTCAACAAAATTGATTAATATAAGCATAAATATTTAAACTAAACAATTTAGTCAACGAAAGCTAGAAACAAAAATTAGTTTCCTAAGGCGCCGTTTAAAAAAAGTAAAAATCACCTAATGAAAAAACGTTGCTTTAAACAAGACTCAATAAGACCAACGCCAGACACTGGATGGATATGAACATGTACAAAAATAAACTCTGCCAGATTACGGGAGATCAACTTCGACGACTTAAGCTTCCATATCGCTAATGTCAGAATTGAAGCTGAATACTGCTTTAGACAAAGCAATAAGCAAAACAGTAACCATTTCCACATGCCAGGTCCACCAAATCAGCATCTGATATGTAATGTTCTACGCTGTGCAGCTAGAAACACGCACTAGAGTTTGGCTACCTTTTCCAAAGAGAGAAAATGCCCACGTTATAATCCATATGCTGCAAAGAGTCGAGAAACGCTTAGTTCGGATATGAAATAAGCAAGTAGCAGACTAGTAAGCAATTGTGAGCAATGTGATGACAAATCTACATGATAAGGAGATTCAATTAGTCCAACTGACAGCACAGCCATAAAACGACAAGCATGCAGCCGACATTCAAAAAGAAATAGTTTCGCCACAGCGGTCAAATAAGGAAACTGTCAATGCCAAATTGCTACTTCATGTCATTTGCTTCGATGCACTATTTGGCAACTCAGCTCATGATTCTGTGATCTCAGATCTTAGCGCAGAACATTAAAGAAACAATTCTTAACATTGAAGACCATCAGGTTCCCTTCTCTGGGAGACGTGACTAACCCAGAACAGGCTGGCGACGTAGTTTTGTTTAAAGACCTAAACATAGCTTTGTCTTCGTTTAGATGCTATATGTGTTCATTGCTATATGTTACTGTTACACGTCTACACGGCTACTGTTACACTACACTGTTACACATTTATATGTTATATGTATGCATATGTTCTTCGATTTGAAGATATGCACCTGTGCTGAAAGGGAAGAGAAAATGCCATCAAAAAGCAACGGCATTCAAGTAGCAGACTTTCAAATTCCAATACATCAAACACCGCTCAAGCAATCACATATACTGATATGTAAAGAAAGGTTTTTCGCTGATTAAATATTTAGTAGGTAGAAGCAGAGAACCTGAATAAAAACTTAAGTGCGAACAGTACAAAAGTATAATGAACAATCCTTTGTATTTCCGAATTTGTCTTCGTCGTGGGCGTGAAACGAACGGAAGCTGGTGCACCTTTCACCTTCTCTGGTCTTAAGTGCTCTTTCCGTGAGTAGTTGCTTGGAAGTCGGTTCGAGTTACGAATCGTCACGAAGTATTGTAGATGTCTCTTCAACCACCATCCAACCCAACGGACTTTTAGCAGCACAGTACTTTCTGAAGTCTTGGTCATGGAGTAACTATACTGGAAAATAGCGCACAACAGTTTACCTAGAGGAGCAACCTCTGTACACTTCCGACCGCTATTTCAACAAGTGCTAAAGAAGTAAGTCAACGCACATTCAATGCCGGAACTTAAATTCTAACTTTGGCAGCAATGCATTTACCGGCAACTACCACTAAGCAAAGATTTCATTTCCGTACATTAAATTGCAATGAGAAAAAACAAAAAGAGAAACCAAGAAGGAGGCAAGAGCTTGTAAGAGCAGGCATGTTCAATATGGTCACATTTCAGGCTATAAGTCTATAAGTAACTACACAATGTATATGTCCTGTAGTTCCACTGGCGCATGGAATGACTGCAGCTGGACCAAAAACCATGTCACGAGTAGAAATCTCATCAATTCTGTTTGTCAAACTTTATTAGATTTACACGACGACAACAACAGTTTGCTGTAGTTCGCAAGAGCGAATCCATGATTCACAGTAAATGAATAAAAACCAGTAAATATATAACGAAACTCCGTTGTTGCCGACCCAAGCCAGGATGACAAAAGAGGAGGGGCGGAGACCGAGGCGAAGTTTTAACAAAACTTAACCAGATGCCCCTAATGGCATTGCCGTCATCGAACATCATACCGGATCGGTCGTCGCCCGGCTTACCATGGGCCATGCAGATTGCTAGAAGACTGAAGAAGGGTGCGAAAAGCCAGCGATCAGAACTAGCTCATTGCTTTCCGGCATCTGGAGGCGTAGGAACATGACAACTGTTGCCGAAGATTGACAAAACGACGACGAAGATACCAATCAGCAACGCTGCCGCTACCCATTCTGAACGGAGGAGGCAGACAGCGCAATGCCATTATAGCGCACAGAAAAGGCTCCACGAGAATTACACCGCAGTGAAAACTCATAGTCGAAAATTTGAACATCTCGCCACTTGATGAACATGCCGCCAGCTACCAATTCGATATAGTTGGACTCTCGTTAATGAAGACACAAGCCTCTAGAATTCTGAACCTCTGCAGGAGGAAACTGGTATAATGGAAGAACCCAACCTGGCAAACGGAATCATAGAATGAACGGCTGTCAGCGGAGGAGTGGCAACTCTCTGACCGAAGCTACAACAAGCTAAAGCGTTGCCCTTTTTACAGATCCATGCGTTCCATCTGGAGGAAGAATGAGTCCTTCCTCACTGAAGTGCAGTATGCTCTATATGAAGTGTCGAAAACGCAATCCCTCATACTCATGAGCGATTTTAATGAACATGTTGGACAAGATATTGAAGTGGAAAGGCGTGATTGGAAAGAACGGCCGAAGTGACTTCAACAATAACGACATGGACTTGCCGCGGCTTTGTGGAAAAAACGGGCTGTCTGTTACGAACGCCTTTTTCGAGCAGCGAAGCGTATATCACTAAACCTTATGTAGGGAAACTTGGGCATAGAAGTCCATGACCGATATGAAATCGCATCGTTTGGCATAAGACGCTTTGTAATGGATATTCGCGTTCCGAAGCGTAGAGCTGTCAACTGCTCATCCCCTCTCTGTTGGCACACCACGCCCCTCTTCACTGTAAAAGATGGAGTACAATGCGAAGACCGGGTAGAAGAAGCAACCGAAAGATGAAATTGGAAACATTATCTAACACAGACACGAGGGCAAAACTTGCAAGCAACATCGCGGGACGGCTTGAACAAATCCAAGTGATTTGAAAACGCAGTGGAAGCTCTTTAAGAGCGGCTGCCACCAAACGCCGCGGTTTCAAACGGGTTGCCGTGCCGCCTGAAAGTCAGAAAAAACTTCTTGGTGGATACGAGAGGTACAACTGGCAGTCACTGAGAAAGCTGCATTTAAGAAGAAATGGCTTGGAAGCAAAAAGCCTTCAACTCGTGTGTGATATGTCGAGGCACACAATGCGGCAATGACAACAGTGGCAAAGTCTAAAGCTGATTCCTGAGTAAAATTCGGTGAGGTGTTGAAGTCGAATTTCCACACGGACAACAAGGCATTTTGGCAGACCATCAGCGAGGTCCGAGGTAAAAAAAGGGCAGTCTAAGAGTCTTAAAGGACAGATCTGAACACCTTCTTATCGAGGATGACGACATTCTTCGGCAATTGAGAGAGTACTCCTTAACTCCGAGCAACTGCTGGAAGACTTGCCGTAGAGCAGCAGGGAATGGATATTACTATCCCTGCAGATGAAACAACACAAGCTGTGAAAAGCTTGAAAAATGGAAAGGCTGCTGGAATTGATGAAATCCATCCAGAAACGCTCAAAGCATTAAGCGAACAAGGCATGTACTGGCTCACACATGTCTGTCAAACTGCAATAGCTACGCGGAAGACACGAACGGGCTGGAGAACGGGAGCTGTAGTACCCCTGTTCAAGAGAGACCACAGGAAGTGCTCCAGTTATTGGGGCATTATCTAATTGAGCATCGTGGGAAAAGACTACCTAAGCGTGTTAGAAAGGCGGTGCAGCAGAATCAGTGCCGTTAAGATTCAAAATAAGCACTGTGTGTTCAGATCGGGCAAAGCGCCTTTTACCGCGTG